GGGGGGGTGGGATCTACTGGAGGGGGAGGAGAAGGAACAAAGAAATTTAAGGAACAAAATGAAAAGGGGGTAATCCGCCGGAGGGGGATTAAGAAATTTAAGGAACAAAATGAAGAGGGGGGAATCCGCCGGAGGGGGATTGAGAATTATGCCGTCATCTTAATGTCATGTTAAACCACCCGTTCACACGAACTTAAACCACCAGTGCTTGGCCCAGCTATCGGCCGCGGAAAGAAAAAAAAATAAAGTAGAAACGTTTCTACTCGGATGAATTTGGGCGTTCCTGTTGTGACCCGTACATTTCCTAAAATCGTGGCTTGTTAACGGGCACAACTTTAGGAAGTTACTGTACTGGTGGTTTAAAGTTACTGTAGTGCTCTTACCGGTATGCGCGGTAAGTCTTAGAGCACTTTTGGCTTCGGACCTGGGTCGGTAGTGAAAGCGGCAGGCCACTTGAAAAAGGTGCAGTTGCAAGCTCGCAACCCTTGGAAGTTCACTGTTTACTGCTAGCTTCGTCAACTTAGGCTCGTGTGCACTGGTAGTTTTTTGGTAGGTTAAGACAAAATGGAAAAGGACAAAATGGAAAAGCCGTCAACAAGTGACAACAACACTAAAGTTTAGCAAAGGTGGGGAAAAAAACTGTTTTTAAACCAGGTCCTGGGAAACGTTGTTTTCGCTCAAGACCCCAGAGGCACATGTTGTTCCACTCAAGTCCCCAGAGGGCACACGTTGTTTCGTTTCTTTCCTTACCGTTTGTCACACACATTTTCTAACAAATTATCTCTCATGGATACACCCACGTGGATGGTTTTTTGATTACTCATTTTCGGCTGTGTTGTGGGTGGGTGTGACTGCAATGCTGTGTGTGGAATTTGGCAGTGCCTTTAACATCTCTTTGAGGAACAGATTAAGAAAGGTACAGACTGCAGTTTGTCCCATTTCTCCTCCGTCTCTTCCTCCTCCTTGCTGTAGTTGTTCTCCTCTTCATCCTCCCTCTTCTTCTTCTTCATCTTTGTCGTTGTCGTCGTTATTGTCGCTGCCACCATCCTCGTCGTTCTCCCCTTCTTCTTCTTCTTCTTCTTCTTCTTCTTCTTCTTCTTCTTCTTCTGTCTTCTGTCTTCATTCTTCTTCTTCTTCATCTTCTTCTTCTTCTTCTTCTTCTTCTTCTTCTTCTTCTTCTTCTTCTTCTTCTTCTTCTTCTTCATTCTTCTTCTTCTACTTCTTCTTCCTCTTCTTCTTCTGTCTTCTGTCTTCTGTCTTCATTATTCTTCATTCTTCTTCTTCTTCTTCTTCTTCTTCTTCTTCTTCTTCTTCTTCTTCTTCTTCTTCTTCTACTGCTGAGGCTACGGCCCTTTTGCTCCTCCTCTCCCTTGCCCTTGGCCTCGGCATTCTTGATGTTTTGCTTGTTGTTCTTCTTCTTCATAGTACTCTCACTGTTGCTGATATTGCCATTGCTGTCGTCAGGGATGGCGCTCCGCTGCATGTTCGAGATGCCTTCTCTTTGTTTTTTTGTTTTTTTTCCCTCCAAAAACATTGCCCCTTCTATTCTGGGGGGTGTCAGTCCCGTTGCTTATTACTAGCAAGCATGTTTTCACAAGAGCAAGATCAAGAAGAAATAGACCAGCTGTAGCATATCAGAAAGTGAAATGCACTGACAGCCTAGGATCTAGCAATGACGAAAGTGGCAACAACCAGCAGCATAGGTGCAGCATTCACAAGATGTCAATGTGCACGATGCAAAGAGCAACCCAACGAGAAATCAACAACAACACATTCGTATCATTATCATCATGGGCTGTGAAGCAGCGCAGCGGAATATCTAGTAACCAAAGGACACRTGAACAGACAGACACGGATAAACTTCGGGAGGGCAAGACATCAGAAAGATTGCCCTTCCGCTCACACACATGGGGAGAGATCCATAGACATGCGAGATAGAGAGCGGGGAGACATAGGCAAGCAAGTCTAACCCAAGTCTGATCTCCAAATGTCG